TAACGGTCGTAGAAGTGCGCACTAAGTTGTAGGCTTTGGGTGATGGACACTTGGCGGGGGGCGGGCGGTAGGGGAATCACTGGCTCTATGGGCAGAAGGCATCAACCACGGCGCCGTCGTAGAGAGAAGAGAAGAGAAGAGCACTGCTGTCCATAATCACAGAGAGGAAAATATAGGGGGCGAGTCTCCGCAATCATGACACGGCCATCAGAAATTACCATCCTTTAGTGTAGTGCTGCCACGAAACCCAAACAGGAATACTACCACCTATAAGGAGCGATTGTCGCTCTCAAATCGTCGACAAGGAAACGTGGATCGCCGAACTCCTGTCGCGACAACAACTCGAAGCACGCACCGCAGGGCAAAATCATCCCCCCCGGGTCGCAGCTCCTCGGCAAGAGAAAGCACCACCCTAACGGTAGGCACACATGGCGCGAGCCAACGGATGACGAAGGAAAGAAAAGACAAAATCTCGCTTTCTCCCGAACGCAAAAAAAAAAAAAACTCACCGGAAAGACCGGCACACCATGTTGCAGACGTGGCACACCATCAGGTGCACGGCCATGTCCACGTGCAGCAGGCCGAACAACAGGACCATCGTGTACGGCTTGGTCAGGAACAGCTCCGGCCTCACCGAGGCCCAGCTGCCGCCCAACACCATCAGAACCACGAACCAAGACGCGTCGCGGATCGGGTTGACCATGCCGCGACCAGCCAAGCGGCGGGCCCGCGCTACCAACACGCTGGAGGCAAGGGGGGAGGGGGTCCCGTCGAATGTGGATGAATGAGGCTTTTATTTAGTTCGGAGACCTTGGTTTGGTGGAGGTCACCTCAAATGTGCATCGAGGGAGGTTCTTGGTTCGGAAACCTTGGTTTCAACAATTTATGTGCGCTAGTAAGTTGTAGCAGTGAGACGCCTTACGGAAATCTTCGGGTTGGCGGCTGCAAACACTCTGCTGGTCGCGGGAGCGGGAGCCCGGCAGAACATGACTTCATGAACAAAACAGGAAGGGATATGGCATTCGCTCAAGATTTGACGGGGGGACTGCACAACGACCACGCAACAAGGAGGACTCGAAAACAAAGCACGAAAGACAGATCGATTGGTCAAGCGGCGACACTCCAGCGAGGAGGAGGTACGCGCAGCAGCGCCACCATAGCGGTGCGCGGCAGGCAGGCACGGGGGATTTACTTGGTGTACTCGGTGGCGAAACGGATCTACGGAGTCTCTTGGATTTGATAGGAGAACGTGCGATATGACGGAGGCCCTCGATGCCCCACATGGCGTGCTCAATCTCTCTCTCTCTCTCTCTTATCTGGGCGTCGTTAAAATACGCGGGGTATTGAGTCAATTACATAGCCCTATTCTCTTCACGCGGCGTCCGTATGATTAACGGCGCCCACACGACAAGCCGGGCAGGCAAACACAACACTCACATCTGCTTGAAGACCGTGAGCGCCACCCCGAGGAGCGAGCACGCCATCAGGACCTCCCCCAGCGGCCAGCCGCGGAGCCCCTCCCTCGGCGCGGAGAAAAATTCCGGCCCGTACACGCCGCGCAGGCACGCGGACACCGCCCCCAAGACGACCTATCCACACAGCAGCAGCAGCAGCAGCAGCAGCAGCAGCAGCAGCAGCAGCAATGTCACCGTCGTGCGAAACACGCGGGAAATCGGCCGACGTTTGGTCGCGTGAACTAATATTGCCGATCAGAGGCAACCAACAACCGGCAATGACGCGGGGAAAGAAACGCCCCATGCAAAACACGACTACGATACGACCAATCTCCTTTCAGAAAACCTTTGCGTTTCGAAGGGCTTCGCGCGCGCACGGTTGAAATTCTGAAAGCCTCTTGGGCGTAGCGCGGCACCACACGACTTCCTCCCCCAAGAAGGTTGTTATGTTAAGGCGTGCGTGTGGCCTTCCTTGTGTTGGCGAACGACCGACCAACCGGCTGGCTGCAGCTGGGGGGGGAGGGCTGCTCCTGGCTGATTGGGCGACAGACCCAAGCCACGCAGTCACTCACCCCCTCGGAAGGCCCGTTGACGATCGGCAAGATGAGCTCGTGCGTGTAGTAGTGTTCCCAGGTCGTGAAGAAGAACGGCACGAGCTGCGCGACACCGCGGGGGGGGCGAAAAAGGATTGTACGCAAGAGGGACACAGCAGAGTGCGAAGGGTGAACTGCTTTCTCGCGATAGAAACTGGAGGCGTGCGTTGCAGACAGAGGGTACCAGGTACTACTCTGGAGTGCGAGACCCCAGGCCGTATGTAGCTCTTCTCAGCGGAGGAAGGCAAAAAGAGCGTGCCGTACGTCCAGTATCCGTCGGCAGATGAGACGCTAGACAAGACTCGAAACTCAGCAGTAGTCAGAGCAGAAACACGCGAGTGCCTAGCGCAATTCATCTACTCTAATTGGTCACACACGCACACACACACCATTCGCACTTGGACAAACGTTTTTTCATTGGTCGACCGGTAGACGCGGTCGGTGCTAACCATAAACATACACACACACACGCAGCTTAACCTCACTCATGACGCCCCCTCACGAGGTCCCAGATCGTGGCCTTTAGAAGCATTTTTTGTTTTCAACCGCACCGAGACTGATTTATTTTCATTGGTCAGCCGGTTAGCGCGGTCGATCCTAATAACAACACACACAAACACATATACTAACCTGGTTGAGCACGATTGCCGCGAGAAGCGGGAGGCTAGACCCGGCATCGAGGATGCACGACACGAACACCACGCCGAAGCAGCAGTTGATCGCGTCGCAGCCGTGGTCGAAGATCAGGCCCAGCGGGGACGAAGAGCCCGTGCGCCTGGCCTGACATCGAAACACCGACATCGGACGAGGAGGAGACCTTGGACGTGAGGGGGGGGGCGTGCTGGTTGTGCCAATAATCGTGCCCCATAGCCCCCGCGGAACTAGAATGCTACTGCAAGCAAGAGTATAAATGGGCAGTTCTCAAGAGCCTGGAGAAGGGGAAGGGATCTCCCCCTCACCCTCACCCCTCTCGGCCGTCTAAATACGTGCGCAATGCTCACACGACCAAGGCCGAGAATGAGAACACGACAAAAAACACGGGAGGGGGGAGGAGGCCTTAAAAGGCACCAATTTAAAGCGATATGATGCCACAAAACACTGAACGCACCAACACAACTCACGTACCATGGCCACGAACACACGAGACCGACCTTCTCTGTTCACTGGTCAATCCGGCCATACTAACTAGCGCGATCGATGCTAACATTAAGCAAAAAGAGAGACGATCGGCGCGCACCTGCTTTCCGTCCATGTTGTCCAGCGTCTGGTAAACGATCAGCCCGGCGGCGGCGGCGGGAAACACCCACCAGGGCGTCGACTCGTTGCTCACGAGCCCCGGCATCGACAAGTACAGCAGGAGGTACGAGGCCGTGGTGAGGCCGAGACCTATCGTCGTGACGAGGTTGGGCGCCATCCAAGAGGGCAGGAAAACCAGGCACGTCTCCGCGAGAGGGCTGAGGACGTACTTGTACAAGAGCGAGCGGTCGGACCCATGGTACTGATACCTGAACAAGGAGAGGAGAGGGGGGGGGGTTGCGTGGGGGTAAGCAATACAGCAGGAGCGCGTAACGGAAGGTTGCAGAGACGGAGGCGTTGAAGTCTGGGTTTTGTATGGAGCGGAAGAAGATATACGGATTGGCCAATCAGAAGGCAGCAATATTGGGAGGATCGGAAGTGAGACAACGGTTTGTCGTGTGTGCAGTTCCTGGTCTGTCCCAAAACAAGCAATAGGGCATGAGTCTACTGGTAACTCGGAGATCAACTACTTTCAGAGACGTTTTTGTTGTGCAAGTTTTCTTTTCTCTCTATGTTTGGAGGGGGGTATTGTTGGCTACTACCATAGTATCGGAAATGGTTGTGACTGCTACGCCGCGACGACTAAAGGCGGCCATAGCATACGTGTGCCATGTGCATGTGGCACGCCACACCGACACTCAATCGGGAGCTTGTTTTAAACATGCGACTCGTCCGTCCGTCACGGTTGTGAATCAAAATCCAACACTTTACGTTCACGGTAATGTTAATGTTGTACCGTGATCGCTGGGGTAGGTATGCTACCAAGAACGTTGTTTTGGCTTGCTGCAGAATGTCAGGCCTGCTGCCTACGGGGGCCCATGGTCGAGCATGAACGCGTATGCACATGTACAACTGCTGTGTTGTGGGAAGATTATTTGCACACCCATCTGGTCTTCTCGTGTGCTGTTGCCGAACGAAAACATCCGCAGGTAAATTTACCCCCTTGATCACTTTTTGGAGAGGGCTTCGAACACTACGAACAGAGCTGGTGTACTCTTGCGGCAACAGCAAAGAGATTGGAGGACTTCAGACAAGCGGCTGGCAAGAAGCGCAGGGAAGTTGAGGTACCTCGTAGGACGATGAAGCTGAATACTTTGTACATAGCGCAGCATGACCGGCTTGTGGGTTAGGTTGCGGGTTCCTTCGGAGAAGGGAAAGAATAAAGGCGAGAGCGAGCGGGAGATGGAGATGTTGAGGGCGCTGGACCAGGAAGGGACCTCGTGGACATCTCTCACTGCCCACGATAATAAAAATGAAGGCAAGATAACCATGTCGTCTGCTGTCATATGCATACACTCCCCGTTTGCGGACACGCCCCGAAGCAGCAGAGTGAGCTTGCCGTGCCTACGTAAGCAGCAGGAGGAGTGATGCAAACAATCTTCGCTACCGGCTTTGTTGCAACTGCTCCCCGCCCTGGAGTGGTTACGACCACACAGTCGGGGTTGCAAGGCCAGCCTGCATCGTAAGCACGCGAACGATACTGCGGGCAAACCCACCCATGCTTCGTTCCTACGCGTCGAATCCTGTCCTCAGTACTTGAGAACAACTTGTACTGCTGTTGCACACATATCATTACGGCGGGTGTCTGAGCCCTATCTTGGCAGGGTTCTTTTTCAACAACTTGACCCGTCAGGTACAAAACTTAATTCTCGTCCCACAGCTCACCGGCGCAGGTACTTCACCGCCCGTGGGGTGACGACACTTCCCCCTCTGAAATCCGACATTTCTCCAAGCCGCCCGTAATACGCCGGCAGTACACGCACGCTCTGACTGCTGCTGTTATGCCTGCTTTTCGGAAACAAATCGCACGGGGTCCCTGCGAGCGGCGTCTGGGGGTAGGAGCTGCTGGGGGAAAAAAAAGGAAAGAGGCGTGTTTTGAAACTGAAAAGCCAGACTATTCGTTGTTCTCTAATTGGCTGAAAAATGAAAAAAATCCGAACCAAGTCCTGTTGGACGAAGATATCTTTCAAAGGTTGGTGGACGAGATGTGGGTGTAGGAGACCCCACCGCCCCGGGTTGACCGCCCCTGGTATCGCAAGAAAGCGAGGCAAGCAGTAGTGAGGTGGGTTTTCTTCACTGTGGAGAAGTTGGTGTGTGCTCGTGCTCCACCGGCTGGTGCTGCTGGTGCTGCTACGTTCAACAAAAAGATCGGCGATAACCGGGACACCTGGAGGCGACGTTGCTGGTTTTACCCGATACAAGAGGCAAAATGTCGGAGAGTAAAGATGGTGGTGGCAGCAGCGGTGGTGGTGGTCGAGCACCTTACTTGGACGTGAGCGAGGACAAGATGTACGATTCACGGCTGCGGGGGGACTACGAGCTGCACGACTATGCGCACTCTCCCTCCAACCAGCGACTAAAGGTGCGGCACCTGTAAGATATCAACGGACCCGAGTGCGGGTGTTAAAGTGCTGGGGAGGGATCGGAAGGGCTTTTTATGTGAACACAACAACAACAACAACCACGTTGTACTCTCAAAGTCAATCGCATCGAACGGCGATGGAGGTTGTCTGGCATCGGTTGAAAATATTTGCTTCCACAAGTGTTGTAGATTCAAACGTCGTCTCTGTTTGCCTGATATCGAGCGCTCTCTCCTCTTTAGTTCAGAAAGCAAATCTACACGTGGTGGTTGTTGTCTCTCAACGTACTACAGAGGTACAGCAGTATGCGATTGCCAATACAGTCGAGGTCCCTCTATAGTGCGGGTATGTGCCAGGCGATTCTACCCGCACTATAGCGGGCACCCGCACTATATAAATAAGCGCCTAAATAGTGCGCATACCCGCACTATTGGGGGT